CTCACAATTTTGTCGTTTTCAGAGTCCAAGATTGACCCCATTGCTTTGGGCCCCGGTGAGGGTAGCAGATGGTCAGCACATCTTGTTGGGTGCCTGTGAGGAGTCGTGCAAATCGCATCTTGAACAGGAGCAGTGAGACAGATGGACGGGCGGGCAGGTGGTCGGGCAGGCCAGGCCAGCTCCTTTCCTGACAGTGCTTGGGGTGAAGGGGGTGCACTTGAACCACCTTGTGCCCCCACTGAAGACGTCCAGTAGGCCCCACTCCTCGAAGCTTCTACCAACTCCTAATATGACTCAAACCATGTCTGAACGACATTGATGTATGTGGATGTGAAGATTTCCTTAGTAATGTAATGAATGAAGCCCCAGTCAAACTCTAAATGCACTTTTCTTATAGCTTTATAATTATTAATTCTAAAATTCACCAGTAGGAATGGAGGCATAATAGCAATCTCACTCCCTAAAAAAGACTTATTTAACTGCTTTCCAGCTACTGGAAAGCCACGATAATGGAACTGTTAGGCTGGTACAGAGGGAGAGGGGGCCGTGTGTATAGAACAAAGCCAGCCCAGAGTTGAGTCTGCATACACACGGAGACTTGCTCTGTGTTGGAGATGGTGGTAGAACGCAATATGGCAGAGTCGAAATTACAGAATCAACACCTGTCAAATATGTAATTATCAGTGAGATCATAGGATGGTAAAACTGGCTCAAAGAGCATTTGAGGAACTGAAGAAAAATTCTGGAATGTTTGTTTTACACAAGCCAGGTGTTGTGGGCACACCTGTAATCCCAGCATGTGGGATTGAGGCAGAGGGATCATGAGTTCCAGGCCAGGCTGGGCTACACAGCAAGACTGTCTTAAAAAAAAAGTTTTGCCCTATACAAAATGGTCTTATCTCCTGAAAGGCAGTAAAGTTGTAACTCTTTCAGGCAGAATTTATTTGTATATTTACCAGACCAAAAAATACCTATAGGTTGACATCTAATTTTACAGTGTGTAGATCTTTGTAGAGAACGTCAAGTCAAAGGTAAATTCCCCACAGAGTGAAATCCCTAACCCATCAGACCTCCAAGATACTCTGGGATGACCTTGGGAGGACAAGGTGTCTCGTTTTCATGCTAACAAGTAGTTGAAGAGTGACTTAATTACCTATATATGGGGTGGAATTAAATTTAGCTCACACTGTGAACAAAAACTGCCTCTCTCTGTCTCTCCCTGAGAAGTTAGGTTCTTGATGAAATACTAGAATAAGTACTAGACAGTAGTTTAAATCAGTGTATTAGGTCTACACTTAAAAATACTGTGAGCGCCTGCTGAAGTTGAGCAGGTGGTGGTTGTGTCCCGGCCATGGAAGGTGCCTCTTTCTCATGTGGCACGGTGCCCCTAGTCCTAGTGTGTCTTCAAGGACAAGTCCTGGCACATTGTTTGATGAACACTTTCTGAAGAATTGAAAGGGTGAAAAAGATACGTATAATGAAAGCCACCCAGGTGAGGAAAATTCCTAACAGCTGGGCCCACAGCCATGTATCTTTTCTGACTCCCCTTGGGATGGCTTTTATGAGAATGTGTTTCGAGGCTCCCAGATGGTGGTTGGAGCACTGGGAAGGCAATGTATGCTGATTACTTTGGCTAGAGGAAGTAGACTGGAGATGCTTGGGGAGGTGGGGGTGGAGGAGGCTGAGGTAAAGCAGCTGCAGGAGGAAACCACCAACCACCCTCGGAATCCTAAGACTGAAGTTTTGCCCCTGGCCAAAACGAAAGTGATTTGCCCCAGCTGTGAGGGCAGACTGTGACCAGACCCTGGGAGTCCCATGAGCCTGAGGGAGGGAGAGACTCGGACACCCACCATTCATGCTGACAAGTGAAAGAAGTTAGACAACATATAGGGGACTTGCCTTAATAACAGTAACTAAGCATAGAAAACAATAATACTGTTGAATAGTAAAAAGCGATTTGTGGCATGATATGCTTATTGTGATAATAATGTAAATTTAAAAAATATTGTGGAATTTCTGAGACTTCAGTGTGTATAAAGGCATAAAGGACTAGAAGGAACTAATTTAAACTCATATCTAAGAAAAGATGACTAAAATCTAATACAGTACAGTGGACCCTTGACTTATGAACTCAATTGGTTCCTGAGGGCTGGATGTAACTCAAAGTTGGTTTTAAGTCAATACAGCTGAGACCTGGATGTTTACCTGGGCACACACTATAGATAAAAAGAGGCAGACGAATCTTCCATTAACCTAATTAACCCAGGTTGTTCGTATGTCAGGTCAGTTGTAACTTGAGGGTCCACTGTCCTTTTTTTTTTTTTTTTTAATTTTTCATTTTTTTGGTACCGGGGATTGAACTCAGGTCCTTGCGCTTGAGGGGCAGGCGGTGGAACCACTGAGCTAAATCCCTGGCCCCACTCTCCTTTGTTAATCATTACATTCTGCTAAATTCAAGTATGTTGTGTGATGTATAGATAACAATAATTATAGACTTTTTTAGAAGATAAATTTAGAGCTGGGTGTGATGGTGCACAGCTGTAATTCCTGCCTTCTAGGAGGCTGAGGCAGGAGGATTGAAAGTTTGAGCTCAGCCAGGGCAGTGTAATGAGTTAGCAAGACCCTATCTGAAAATTAAAAATAAAAAGTATTGGATAGGTAGCTCATTTTGCAGGCTGTGGGTTCAGTCCCTAACGTCTGTCTGGTCCCTGCCTCTCTCTGGCTCTCACTCTTGCTGTCCACACACAGACACAAGTAAGACTTTAGATACATTAAAATTTTAATGGGTTTGAGCATTCATAATTCATGAATTATGCTGCAGACACTTAGGACTCCTCACCCAGTCAGTGGAGAAACTTCATAAGATGTTCACAGAAGCAGACAAGGAAAATATTTGATTGCTTAAAGTAGCAAGTTGCTATTTAGAGGTATTTTGCAATTTCCGATTGTGGCAGTCTGTGGTTAGAGGTTAGTTGGCGCTTCCTGATTGGTTAGACTTAAGTGTCCTTTATATTGTTTACATTGAGTCGTTTTGGTTTGGCTTATGTAGGAACCCACATGCTGGAGCCCTCTTAGCCCCGTGGGGCCCCAGTTAATTTTAACACCTTGTAACATGTTTACCTGGCACAAAAGACTTAGTGTTCTAACTATATGGCATATCAAATCATCGAGGGAAAGATGTGATCTACGTATGCCCTCAAAATCAGAAATGTTAAAAAATTATAGTTTTGATTAAATATAAATTGTAACCACTGGGGAAATTTTTATATTTGAAAAGGGGGGCATTTAAGCAGTACCATAAGTTTCAGAAGCTGTTTCCAGCCCTTATAAATGAGGCTGTGAGAGAACAGGTGGGCAGGGAATGGTGCATAGTTACTGCTTGGCAACTGTGTTTATATAGTGTTCCCTCTGTTCTCTGGGGAAGAAGTTTTTGTGTTGGAAAAGAAGCCTTCAAAGCTGCATTTCCCATTTTGTGTGCTTTGTTTCCTCCTACTACCCCACATGTAATCACCTTATAGGAAGAACCCCTAATACTCTGACAAATAGAAAATTTAAGAAACTTGATACATGGAATAGAAGATGAATGCTAAATATAAAATATTACAGGGCACTGGGAAGTCTGAACAGTAGGATTTAATCAAACTATTTAATTGAGGTCACTGTAGAGTTTAAAAAAAGCTTCCACAAAGGAACTGTCACCGTCTTCTTTATGGGTTGTGCACTGTTAAGTGAAGGGAAGCTGAAGGAGACTGGCATTCTATTATGACATGGGGCAGGCTTAATCCTTTGTGTTTTTTTTTGGTACCGGGGATTGAACTCAGGTCCTTCTGCTTGTGAGGCAGGCAGTAGAACCACTGAGCTAAATCCCCAGCCCTTAATCCTTTGTTTTTTGAGGCAGGGTCTCCCTATGTAGTTCAGGCTGGCCTTGAACTCACTGTGTAGCACAGGCTGGCCTTGAACTCCTGGTGATCCTCCTGCCTCAGCCTCCCGAGTGCTGGGCTCACAGGCGTGCACCACCACATCCGGCTCAGGGCAGGCTTACTCTTAGGAAGTTTGTTTTTGGGAGAACCTGCCTTGTTGGTGTGTTTGTGGGGTGTCTCTAGGTCAAAGTGGCCTGAGATTCTGCAAACCAGATTGGTCTTCACCTTCTCTGTGTCCCTTTTGTTGTCTGTGAGGTATATAAAATGGGAAATTCTGCTGTTTATTACAAAGAAAATATTGTATATATTACATGTTGTTCTTTCAGGGATTTCTGTCTGGGAGATAATTAGGCAAGAATGTCCTGGGGTTTATCACAGCAGAGGATAGTAGTGAGCCTTTCGGTGCTGCTGACGTGCCTGGGGTAGGCGACGAGTTGTGGCAGTTCTGTGCAGCAGGGTATTGTGCAGGAGCTATGCTAAAGCAGCTCTGTATTTTGAGAAGAAAAGATTTAGGACAATTAAAGTATATAATTGTCCATTTTAATAAAATATAATTATCTTCAAAAAGTTGCAGTAAAAAAATATATAGGTTTACTTGGGAAAAATGTAGAAGGATACAAGTTACAGTGTTTGGATGGGAAGCTGTGGGGAGATTTCAGTTTATATTTTGTATGTAAGAATACAAAGAAAAATAAGTATTTTCCTGGCTTTATTTGAAGAATGTTCAGTACATATTTGTGTTTCTTGATTTTCAAAATTGATGAGAGATGGAAGTGAGATGTACAAAAAAATTGAAGGAAAGAAAGATCAGGTATATTTTCATAATGTACTTGTATTTATGTAGACTTTTCTCACAAAGAAACAAAGAAATAGCCAGGCACTGTGATACATATATGTAATCCTAGACTTGGGAAGGTGAGGAAGGAGGATTCTAAGTTTGAGGCCCACCTGGGCAACTTTGTGAAACTCTGTCTCCAAAAAATAGTCTTGGGTTGTAGCTCAGTATGAAGGCCCTGGATTCAAATCCTAGAATTGCAGAATCAGAGACAAAAACCCTCACTTTGCTTTTTTAATTAACAGATCTTCTCACTCAGATATGGCAACAAGCAACTTTCACTTTTCATCATGTGATCCCAGACGGACACCCAGACAGGGCAGAGGAGCTGATGTGAGCAGGTAAGAAGGGGGTGTGGGTGTTTTCCAGGCGGGGCCCCTGGGGTAGCGTCCCACTTCTGGTGAAGGCTGCGGACATGCCCATGGTGCCGAGGTGGGAGGTCCTGGGCAGTTGCAGCGCCCACAGTGCAGGTGCGAAGACGGTGAGGAGCTGCTCAGTGGCTGCTGAGTGGGGACAGAGCTGCAGTCAGCACTCCCCGGGACACAGCTTTTGTCTGAGTCTTTTTTATTTTTAAACATTTTAGAGTCATTTTTTGTTTGTTTGGTTTTTTGGTACCGGGGATTGAACTTGGGCCTTTGTGCTTGTGAGGCAGGTGGTGGAACCACTGAGCTAAATCCCCGGCCCTTTTTAAACATTTTAAATGATTATTATCATAATATAACTACATTGCCAAACACTAGAGAAGGTGGAGGAAAGGAAAAATATTACCCGTAACTGTGACCATAATTAAGAGTTAGACGTTCAGTGTATTTCATTCCAGTGTTTCCATAGGCATGTGCTTCTTGATCTAGTCTTAACCATAATGAAATTTTTACTGAATGTTATGTTAAAATTATTTTTCTTTCTTACATTTCTCATGACTTTGATTTAAAAATGCACTTGAAGGAATGTATCCATTGAGAACATTCCAGAGCTTTAGGATGGATGAAGAAGAGAATGAGGGCTGGGCCCAATCCCCTCACTGCAGCACCTGCTGCACACCCTCCCCAGGGAAGAGAGCAGCATACAAATCACAGCCAAACCAGCTCTCTTTCCCCCTTCATGTGTAGAGATGCTAATTATTTTCTTAGTTAGAATTGCATTAAATACACTATTTAGTAATACGGGTGTTTTTTGGTACTGGGGATGAAACTCAGGACCTTGCGCTTGCCAGGCAGGTGAGGCGCCACAGAGCTACATCCCTGGCCAGTAATCTTTTTAAAACTTGATTATCATGACATTTCTCCTTTCCATTAGATATGTTTTACAATATATTTGTTAATTACTGTTCCTTTCCAGCCCATTCTAGAATTAATTTAAAAAGTTCTTTCTTGAACATGTAAGTTGTTCTGAGTTACTAAGACAACTCTGTTAAAGCTGTTTAGTGCCATGAGAAAGTGATTTCCATCCCTCTTTGCAGGTTTATTAAACTTTTAAAATTATACAGCAGATCTTTAGCAGTTCAGATTTTGCATTTGAAATTTCATTATATTCATGAATCTGACAATTTGTCTTAATATATGGAAGGTGTTGAGGAATACAAATGAATTTGAAAATAACTTCTAAGGATCTTAAGGCATTTATTTTCCATATTACTTTTTTATTCCATATGTCCTTCTCAGGGAAATCTTTTTTTTAAAAGAAAGAAATGTTTCATTGTTATCCTTGAATTCAATAGTTTATCCTCTAATTCAGAAGTTTGTTAGATAACTACTGCATCATCATTTATAGAGCTGAGTGTGGAAATGGTAATAAAAATTACTGAAAACATTCATAGAAAGCACTGAGCTGGGTTTGTATACGGGGCATCTTAGGCATGTGTGTAGTTATGAAAGTTGGGAACTTCAAATGCTGTTTCTAAGATAAAGCAAATGAAGAGAGGTTATGGATAGAGAAAGGAACCTGTGGGAATATAGACAGTGAAGGATTATGGAAGGAATGAGAGTTTTAAGAAGAGCTGCAGAGATGTGTGAGAGAGGGGAGACTGAGATAGTGGCCACAGGCCAGGCAAGGGATCTGGGGGAAGGAAGAGCTCTGGAATCCGGTCACAGAGCCAGGTGCTACCAGCAGATCTGCTGGGAGACAGGCTGATGGGATCCTTTGCATTTTTGTTTTTCTTCTGTAAAGTGGTGCTGGGGATTGGACTGAGGGCCTTGGGCGTGCCAGGCAAGCAGTCTACCATTGAGCTACATCCCCAGCCCCCCAACCCCTTTGAGTTAGAGTATCTGTCTCAGTTGCCCAGCCTGTTCTTGAACTTGTGATCCTGCTGCCTCAGTCTTCCAAGTAGCTGTGATTAAAGGCATACCCCAGCACACCTGGATGTCCTTTGCATTTTTGTATGGTAGTTAGTGTATCAGAGATTGTGGACTTGGAGGGAATGAAGGAAGTTGGAGCAGGAGCTTGGCGGTGGTGGTAAAGATGTCAACTGTTTTTGAAGCTCTTGTCTAGAAAGAGAAGGGAAGAGAATGTATTCATCAGCTTTCTGTTACTATAACAAATTCCAGAGATAATCCATATAAAGAAAACAGGTTTATTTTAGCTCACAGTTTTAGAGGTTCCAGTCTGTGATCACTTGGCTCCCTTACTTTTGGGCCTGTGGTGAGGCAGCACAGCATGGAGGAGTGAGTGGCAGAGCAAAACCACTAATTTTGTGGCCAAGGAGCAGTTCAAGCACATTCCGCAATCACCACAGACCTCTCACTGGCCCTGCTCCTAGAGATCCCACCATCTCTTGGTAGTACCTCCTTGGAGACCAGGCTTTTAACACATGGGCCTTGGTGGGGGACATCGTAGTTCCAGACTATGGCAGGAAAGCTGTGTGTTTGGACACAAGGCAAGGTTGAGGGGAGTTATCTACCGGGACTAGGGTGGGGCCAAATCAATCAATGGACTGGTTTAGTAATCACCCACCCTTAATCCTAGCACCCAGCATTGTACCATGAATCATTCACACACTCTAGATCCAGCCACCTCTGAAAAAGCCCCACCTGTGACTGTGTGAGGCTTTGGGGGGACATTGAAACACAGCCATGACACTGAGTTTGCTTTACATAGAAGTGATTGAGATTTGCACGTGTCTGTGAGCTGGGAAGGGTCAGAGGGAAATTAAAGACATATACAAGAAGAAATGGTGAAATGTAAGGGATAATTTAGAGATAATTTCATTATAGTATTAATATTGGCAGATTTTATAGCCTTTAAAACAGAAAAGTAAACAGTAAAAATTCCCATTCTGCCTCTTAAGCAATAGGAAAGACATAAATAAAAATAAGCATTTATAAATGTACTGTGGAACAACCCCAAAGACACTAGCAAGTGAAGATACATGTTGAAGTATATGGGTGTGGCTCTTAGGTAGTTAGGATACACAGAAAATAACAGGGCCCTGCCTAATATGTCACCATGTTACCCCTCCACAGTACCTATTTGCTTCTTGAAACAAAGTTGTGAGGCAGGCAAAGAGGGAGTTTTGTCATTTAACAAATGAAACACCTGGATATTAAGTGACATACCCAAGATACACTGCCAGGTTATGATAGAATTGTAACCTGATGCTCTGTCTTTTCATTTCTAGGCTGTGTACCTTTCCTGAATCTGTTTTCCACCTTGGTTATAATCTCTCATTTGTTTAATCTTAAAAAATATTTTGAAACTAGACATAGTGACATGTGCCTGTAATCCCAGCACTTGGGGAGGCTAAGGCAGGAGGATCACAAGTTGGAACCCAGTATGAGTAATCTAGTCACTTAGAGACTGTGTCTCAAAATAAATAAAAATGCATAGGGATGTAGCTCAGGGTGAAGCCCTGGGTTCAATCCCAGTACAGCAAACAAAACAAAACAAGAAACAGAAAATGCTTTTGACAGTCCTGGTTTCTTTTGATTCTTCTTTTAACCTAGAAAGATTAGGTGAGAATCTTTATGTATAAAGATCTTAATGTCTGAAGAAGTACATGATGCCTTACAGCTCTGAAATTCTTTTGAGTTTATGGTGGGTACCTTTAAATGGCACCTTAATACATCTGTAAGCTTTGTGTTCACGACGTCAAGTCTGTTAATGCACTAGTCATTGAAGCAGCTGTGCTCAGGGTCACTTCGGACATGAGGATGGCTCTCCGTGCTGGGCCAAGAGCTTTCTCATCCCTGCTTCCTCTTCTACAGTTCTTCACTGTAGGTGGGGCTCGTTACGCCCCCACTTAGGAAGTGGGCTGACAGATTGCCCATTTTAAAATCTCTGAGATAAAGTGTATCTTATCTTTTTAAAAAAATCTATTTGAGGGAGTCATAAAAGCAGAAAACAGGAGTCTTGAGTCTCACAATAAAGGAATAGAGAAAACCTTTTGTAGACTTACCCTCTTCACTTCCCAGCTTAGATGTGTCAGCCTGGTGTAAGCACAGAGTGCTCCTACCTTGAGTTACTTCATAAAGGTTCACTAGGGGAATGCAAGAGTTACGCAGGGAGTTCTGGCCATTTGGGAAGCTGAATTCCAGAGACTCTTTAGTGGGGTGCAGTTTCCAAATTGCTAAATCATTAAGATTACGGCAAAAATTTGACTAGGTCTAGTGAGGGGGCCAGGGTTGCATTGGTTTGTAAGGAATGCTGGGTAGTGGTGCTGCTGTTTAGCAAGTATAGTTTCAGTTTTGCAAGATGAAAAAGGTCTGGTGATGGTGCAAAAAAGTGAATATACTTAGTATTGCTAAAGTATATACCTTGAAGTGATTAAGAGAGTCAGTTTTGTATGTATTTTACCACAATTTAAAAATAGGAAAGAAAAAAAAATAGGAAAGAATGCAGGTTGGCTTGCCCATACTGTGTAAAGTTAACCTAGTTCTTTTTTTTTTAAACCTCTTTCTTTGTGCTAAGTATATCTTTTATGCTGTTAGGACATCTATACCATTCTATCTTGGGAAGGTCCCTCTTTGGGTAAGGAGAAAATCTCTGCATTGAGCTCAGGAAAGCTGAGGCAGGTTTTGGCGTACCTTCTCACTGTTCTTCCGTGCTCTTCTTGCGTCTTCCTCATTCATTTGGCATTCACATGAGGGACTGGCCTGGTTGCTCCTGCTTGTCCAGCATTGTTGCTAATAGGATAAACCAGGATAGTTAGCAGTATTTGCCAAGAAGCCATTTTAAAATAATTTTTATTAGAGACATACTGAGCAGTGCAAAAATATTACCATACCATTAAAGAGCAGCTCATGATTGTACTTCCTAACCAGTCAGGATAGGAAGAAAAGGCATGAAGCTTGGGTAATTTAAGTGAATTTATATATCTTACTCTAGTTTTTCCAGAAAGACGAATAAA